TAATAATAATCAGTGTTTTAAATACTGGTATGTACCGGCTGGTAATACTGGATACCGGTGGTCCAATCGATATGATTACGTCCAAAATACCGTTTTGGCCAAAATACCGATTTATACCGGCTTCATACCGGAAAATACCGGTTTTACCGGCCAAAGTATCGGCTAAAATACCGGGCATACCGGATTTTTTTTTAAAAAATATTTTTATAACATATTTTTATTAATTTATTTATATAAATAGAAAATTTTATACTTAAATTTAATATATTTACATTGTTATTTGACTTTAGATAATTTTAGTATTTATTATAGTTAGTTTTATATATTATTTATATCACAATAATAGATTAATTTAATATTTATTGATAAAATAGACGGTAAAATCAGTTGAACCGGTTGAACGACGTACCGGTGACTTGTCCAATATGGTCACGGGTACTATATTTAATAAAACATTGATAATAATAATAACAAATAAATAAATATATAAAAACATTTTAAGTAAAAATCTCATTCCTGTTTGTAAGCAATTATGTCTGTTACCTCTTCAATCCACCGTCCTCGTCTCTTTCATTTCTTCACATAATTCTTCTGCTAATTTCATGATCACCTCCGGCGTACACCGCCCTCCGTCGGCAAATTACCCGTCGTAGAAGCGATTACTCCGATGAATTCCCGGCAACAGCTCCTCGACTCTCTCACCGCCCACATCTCCCTCTACCATTCCCAAACCCCTGACCGTTTCCCGAACTCGAACCCGAATCCCCGACCCTACGTGCTCCGATGGTTCTCCTCTCTCTCGGTGCACCAACGCCGCGCCCACATGACGGCTATTGATCCGAGCTTCATCGCCATCCTTCTTCAGATGAAGGGGAAGCTCCGATCGAACGGCGCCGGGCGCTTCATCATCCTCCCCGACCTTCCTCAAAATGATGATTCTTCCATGCCCACGCTCTGCTATCGAAAATCAGACGGTTTGGTGTCCCGATTTGCTGAGTTCAGTTGCGCCCAGCGCGCGATACACGACTCGGTTGAGCTGTTCAGCTCAACGGAAGGTGAGAGGGATGTTAAAGGGGACGCGAAAGGATTTCCATGTCTTGATGCGATGTGTGTGGCCGAGGGTTTAGTGTCTAACGTGAATCAATTTGTTGAGGTCATGGATGAGATCACAAACGGGGAGTTTTTAAGGGGAGGGGATGAGGGGGAGATGGCTGGGGACTGGGTGGAGCTGGGATGGCTGAAAGCGAAGGGCTATTACAGCTTGGAAGAGTTCGTTGTGAATAGAATTGAGGTTTCTTTGAGGCTGTCCTGGTTGGGCAGTAACAGTGGGAAGAAAAGAGGTGTGAAGTTGAAGGACAAAGTTAGTGCGGCCGGTGTTGCTGCAAATGTGTTCTGGAGGAAGAAAGGATGTGTGGATTGGTGGGAGAAGTTGGATGGGTGTGTGAAGAAGAAGGTTTACAGTGCATTCCTGGGAAAAGCTGCAGGAAAATTGGTATATAATTATGTTTAAAGACTGAATTTTGTTGTCTACGTGTATTGAGGTGTTATTTTTGAATGCTCATGTCAATGGAAGTGAAACGAGCTGTAGTTTATTGGATTTTGTTTGCAATTGAATTGTAGGTTTCTGCCCTTCCGTTGTCGTTTAGTTATTAAATTCGCAGTCTGACTTCTCATTATTGCAAAAGCTGATTATAAAGTTAAGGGAGAACTTTCCTTTCTGGTTAATTAAATGTGGATCTATGATGATCAAGATAAGTAAATATTGGTAGTCAACTGTTTTCTTGGAAACGTTTGTGGATTTGTAGGCAAACTGAGACATTTTTGGTGGTAGTTTATGATCTCAGCTTCAGTTCATTGTGTTGCCGTATACTCCAATTAGTGTGTGAACACCCACGAGCGTTGTGGATATTAGATAGAAAGAAGGTTTTATTCATCGTTTTCCGTGTTGTTCTCTTGTTGAACGCGTGGCTGATATCTTGTTATTGCATTTGCAGACAGATGATATAGTAAAGGGAAACCTTCCCTTCTTGGATGATGAAATGTGGGGCCTTGATGATCAAGAAAAACTATTGCAAAGACGCGATTCTTCTTTCGTCTGGACACGGAATATTGCAACATGCAGAAGAACAAATCCAAAAACAAAATCGAACGACAAACATGTGACTGATCTTCAGAAGCTGTCTCCATTATACATCATCTTCAACAGTTTGTATATTCTTCAGATTATTTGCAATATGCTATCTGCAGCTCAGTGTGGTGAATATGATAAGCTTTTTTTTAGCCCTCTGAACTCCGTAAATAGCATATCAGACGTCATGCTAAGAAAGTTCCGTGATTTTCTCATGGTTATTTCACTTGACTGCACAAAAATTGAGTTATTAGGGGAGGGCACTAAGACTCTTACCAAAAAACTAAATAACAAACCTGTTACACCTAGCCGTAAGAAAAAAGGGAAGAACCAAAACAAAAAGTCCAATCCCGTTCCAAGATCTTGTCAAGATGATCCAAAACGTGCTAACCCTACTAAGGTAAATAATTGTGACACTCAAGCAGTTCAGGTAATATTGCTTTTAGAATTGAAAGACTCTTGTATTGCTAAATTTTAATCAGCTCCAGTTTGTGTTACAGGGAAAAGGGGATGAAGTGTTGTGTACAAGCAATGTCGTTGACAGACATCCAAGCAAGTTTGACTGTGAAGTGCCAAAAAAGGATCTCGTTAGAGAGGGTCTCTCATCTGCAGATGCAATGGTTGTGCTTCGTTTTTCCTTATGCATAGAAGCTAGTAGACACGAACGATGTATTGTCTCTAACACTTGCTCATCAGCAGGAATCTGTTAATGGAGTGAATAATGGAAAATTTCGAGGTGCTCCCAGGAAGAGTAGGAAAGAAAGGAAAAAGTATAAAAGCTCTGGTCCCAATGGCTCAGAGGTTAGTAGTTGCGAACCAAGATGCACTAGAGTTTCCCCAGCCTCCGTTAGCTCTCAACCTGGACCTCCCATGCCTGATTTGGCCATGGGAAGTTCAACTTTTAAGAATGTGACAAGCAATGGTGGGATTCAGATTGACAGGCTGGATGCAAATTCAATGCTGTGTAGCAAGTTAACTGATGATAACCCTGATAACGTTTATTCTACTGAAACTGGTAGTCATCTCTGCGTGAAGCATCATCCAGACATAAGTGATGCAGTCCTAAGTGGCTCTGAAACCACTCGACATAATTCTTCAAAATGTGATCCGGATTCTAGTGCCAAAACCCGCGATCCTGCGGTTGAATATAATGACGAGATATGCACAAGAGTCGTTAGCGGTGGAAATCCTGCCACTGGTTATTTGGGCAAACTTTCGAGAGGTGGTGAAGAGGTAAAACCCCCTCTGGTACAGGAGAATGCAAATCTTGGTGTCCTTAGAGTTGGGACCATGAGTTCACCAGCATACGTCTCTTATGAGTGGCCCAATGTAGCCCCCTTTCACCCATTGACTAACGCACACCACCCTGCCACCACCGACAGGTTGCATCTAGACGTTGGTCACACTTTACAAAATAATTTCCACCATTCTTTTGTACATACTGTACAAGTAAGAAAGTCTCCTATTGACAATAATGGCTACAATGGCATTTTATCCAGACCTCTTCCAATGAGTTTAGATTGGCCTCCTGTGGTGCGTGGTGTTAACAGAATAGTCCCATCAGTTACCTCCAGTTATGATACCGAGTTCATTTCGAGGCGCCAGTCTCGTTTTCAGCAAGGCATCACAGGTCAAAATTTGCATTGTGGTGCGGATTCTGAGGATGAAAGGACCATTTCCAGTGACTTGATTGACTTTCCTGATGTTCCGATTCCACAGGAACTGGTGGAAGAGCATGATAAAAACTGGATGTCTGAAGAAGAGCTAGAGACACATGCAGTTAGCGGAATGGATTACAATCAGTATTTTGGGGGTGGTGTTATGTATTGGAATCCTTCTGACCATCCAGTGACCAGCTTCTCACGCCCGCCTTCTCTTTGTTCAGACGATAGCTCCTGGGCATGGAGAGAAGCAGACATGAACAGGGCTGTTGATGATATGGTTGCCTTCTCCTCTTCTTACAGCACAAATGGTTTGACCTCTCCATCTACTGCTTCCTTTTGCTCGCCATTTGATCCTTTGGGTCCGGGTGCTATCGGTTATGTTATGCCTGGTGGTGAAATTAGCAACAAGGTTCTGCATTCTTCCTCAACAATGAATGACGGTGGTGCGGAGGAGAGTGTCTCAGGATCTATGTCCAATATTTCAGGTGATGGAGAAATGAAGACCGTAGATTCCCATCCATACCCTATATTGAGGCCGATAATTATTCCGAGTATGTCGAGGGATAGGTCGAGATCTGAGTTCAAGCGTAATTATGATCACAAAAGCCCTTGTGTTCCTCCAAACAGAAGGGAACATCCTCGGATAAAGAGGCCGCCTTCTCCTGTAGTCTTATGTGTGCCACATGCTCCACACCCCCCTCCCCCTTCTCCTGTTGGTGATTCCAGAAAGCAAAGGGGTTTTCCTACTGTGCGCTCTGGTAGCTCGAGCCCGAGGCATTGGGGTGTGAAAGGTTGGTTCCATGATGGTTTCAGCTTTGAAGAAGCTTGTGTGCCAATGGAAGGGAGTGACATAGTTTGGCCTTCTTGGAGGAACAAGGCCCTTTCAGCCCGCCAGTTGCCCCAGCCTTTAGCAGGACCGTTTCTTCAGGATCGTCTGATGGCAATTTCCCAATTAGCTCGTGATCAGGAACATGTATATGATTGATTCTCTTATGAGATATACTTATTACCCTCTTTGGTTAGGGCTTGTGATTTTCTCTATATTTTTTAACTTGTTGTGTATTTGCAGCCAGATGTTATATTGCCTTTGGAACCGCCTGATACACAGAACTGTTCAACTCGCAAAGCATCTTTGTCACTGATTCATGATGTTCTGCATGATGAAATCGACTTGTTCTGCAAGCAGGTAGAAAAATTCTGGTTCTGTAACATGTTTTGCATTTGATATTTGCGTGTCTCCAGATCCAATTTTAACTTCTTACAATAGAGATTGGTAGATTTTGTTTCACACTTGATGGTGATGTCAAAATGTTCTTGCAATATATAAGGTTGCTGCTGAGAACTTAATCAGGAAGCCGTACATTAATTGGGCTGTAAAGCGGGTTGCACGGTCTCTCCAAGTCTTGTGGCCTCGCGCTAGAACGAATATTTATGGTTCGAATGCCACTGGCTTGTCTTTGCCATCCAGTGATGTGGACCTTGTGGTTTGTCTTCCTCCTGTGAGAAATTTGGTGAGAGATTCTTTCTACTGCTTGAAATATCCTTTCAAAGATAAATTTATAAAAACAAGCTTCATATCCAGTTACTTTTTTCAGGAACCTATTAAAGAAGCTGGGATCTTAGAGGGACGTAATGGAATTAAAGAGACTTGCCTTCAGGTAGGCAGCAATAGTAACCTGTCTATTTCTGTTTTATAGTATTTTTTTGTGTGTCGTTGAATAGTCGAGATAAGTAGTCCACGCCTAATCAATCCTTTCTAGACAGATGTATCATATTAAGTCTAACTCTATGTGCTGTGCTCACGGTTTCATTCATTGCTGGTAGCCGCAAATCTTGAATTCTAGATCATTAAATGAAGGAAATTGTTAGTCAATGAGTTGTACGAACGCAGGATAGTTTAATGGCTAACGTGATGCTTTTGAACTTGCATGTTGCATCATTTCTATTTCCTTCTAAAGTATGCAATATTTCAATGTTATATTTATTGTTTTGTCTGGTCACTTGTATAATTCCTTATTCCAGCATATCTAATTTTGAACAAATTTAGCACTGTAGTTTTTGTTGATTCTGGTTTTCGCTCGTTGCAGCATGCTGCTAGATATCTTGCGAACCAGGAATGGGTCAAAAGTGACTCTCTCAAGATTGTTGAAAATACTGCTGTAATGCCACCATTTATCTTTCTTTTTTCTGTACTGGTTATTTCATGCTTTTCATAATTCTATTATTGTTTACTCGTCAATTTTAGATACCAATCATAATGCTTGTGGCGGAGGTTCCTCATAATCTCATCTTGACTCAGTCAAATGTTCAAACATCAAATCAAGAAGCAGAGCAGTTATCTTCTACAGGAGGAGACCATTTTCAGCCTGATACGACTAGTTCAGAGGGCAATGCTTCACCAGAATGGAGTAAGACAATGAATGATATAAATGATGGGTTCAAGTCTGTTCGTATTGACATTAGTTTCAAGTCTCCTACACACTCTGGACTTCAGACAACTGGACTGGTAACTGGTTTGCTCTAAAACTTTTTGATCTGATGTTGAACACATAGAGTAAAACGTGATATCCTGCTGCTTGGATGAATTCTATTTTCTTGGATTCATCCGCTTAATATGATGTGGTGAATGTGGTTTGTTGCTTTGCCATAGCTCAAGATGCGTGTTTTAGTCATCCTTTTATCCTGATGTTGTGAGCTCTCTCTACAGGTCAAAGATCTTACTGAGAGGTTTCCTGCTGTAATGCCACTTACATTGGTGCTAAAACAGTTTCTAGCTGACCGTAGTCTGGATCAGTCTTATTCGGGTGGTTTAAGCTCATATTGCCTGGTAAGTTCCTGTTTATAACTGTTATGGCTCCGTTGATTCTTGTAACCAGCAGTATGTTTCTGTGCATTTATTGTTTTACATGTCCCTAGCTTCTCTTCTAGCAGAAATTGGATGTTGTGTGTCAACATCTTTGTTTTGTTTCTGTTTGATGTCCTTGCATTGTAGCTTCCACTCTGCAAAATTACTTGCTCATATACCTCTATGAATGCAGTGGCTGACCACTTTCTGTTTTCCACTATGTTAAGATTTTGGATTGTCTTCAAATTCCATTTTTCGGCATCTACTTTTTATGGGTAATTGTTTTTCTGTTTTATGATATTGATGACATTTGCTGTTACTTTACGATTTACAGATACTACTAATCACGCGCTTTCTGCAACATGAGCATCATCATGGCCGACCAACCAATCAAGTATGGTGACATTTATGCAGATAACTGTGCTTTGTTTGCTCTTCCTTTTTTTTTTTTTTTTNAAGGAAAATAAGTCTCCACTGAACCAAAGGACCTAGATGGCTTCATTCTCCCTGCTGCCTTCCTTTTATCTTTTGCAGTTTTTGAATTCCAGCCAGTCAATGTGGGCTGTTTTGATCACTGCTTGCTCAGGCATCCATATGTCTTGGAATTTCCACAAACATCTAGACTTCCAGAGCCACCACAAGATGTAGGTGGATAGCTCTATTCTATCCTCAGATATGACTTGCTTATCAACAGAGCAAACATCCCACCACCAATACTTGAAGGGTTCAGTGACATCTGGTGATTTCCAATCTAAAGGGGATAGCTTCCAAACCTTTTGTGCTCTATCATAGTGAAGAAGTATATGCTCCACAGTCTCCTCTGCAGCCCCACAACTTTTACATTTTGAATCAATGTCCAACCCTTTCTGTCTCAGATTGCAACTAGCAGGCAGAGTATTGTTATAGCATTTCCAGATGAAATGCTTTAGCTTCTGTTTTACTTTGAGACCCCAACTTCTATTTCTGATTTTCAGCTCCATCATGCCAGTATGGCTGCCTTCTGCTATGTCAAGGTCTTTGATTTTGCAGAGAACCAAATGAGAATATGAATTTGAGACTGAGAACTTACCTTTACTGTCCAGAGCCCAGCTCCATTTATCACATGCCAAGGGATCAAGAGTGGAGATCTTCAGTATAGCTTCAGCATCTGGTAGATTGAAGTACTCAAAAACCTTCTCCCTGTTCCAATGCCTTCCATCATCATCAATAAGCTCACTCACCCAGTAAACCTCCCTTACTCCTCTTTCTGTTTTCTGAGGGAAACCAGCCACAGCATCTGGAATCCAGGGGTCACTCCAGATTTTTGTTATTCTGCCATTCTTAACAACCACTCTGAAAAAGGATTTGAACTTATCTTTGACACACAACCAGTTACTCCACAACCAGGATACATTGTGAGGCTTTTTAGCTTGCAAAATGGAGCAGTCAGAAAAGTATTTTCCTCTAAGAACTCTTGTGACTAGTAATGATGGATTAGTGGCTAACCTCCAGATCTGCTTGACAATAAGAGCCTCATTGAACAAAGCAATGTCTTTAAACCCCAGACCACCAGCTTTCTTAGGTATGGTAATTTTATTCCAAGCCCTCCAATGAATTCCTGATTGATTGTCACCAGACCTCCACCAGAATCTTGCAAAAAGTCTTGCAATTTTTGTACATAAAGTCTTTGGCAGACAAAAGCAGGACATGAATAAAACAGGTAGAGCCCCCAGAACGGCCTTCAGTAAGACTTCCCTGCCTGCAGAAGATAAAAACTGGTTTTTCCAACTAACAAGCTTAGCTATCACTGCATTCAGAACAAATTCAAAAGAATCCTTTTTAGACCTGCCAATTCCAAGGGGTAATCCCAAATATCTGGTTGATCTATGAATCTGAATACCCCCTAACTGCTGACAAATTGATAACTTGGTAGTATTTAGGCAGTTTCTGCTAAAAAAGATGGAATATTTGCTCATGTTCACCTTCTGCCCAGTAAAAGCTTGGTACTTGTGCAGCAAATTCAATAAAATATGAGCATGATTCATATCAGCTTCACACATGACCAGGGTATCATCAGCAAACATCAAGTGGGAAACAGAAGGACTCTTCTTAGCAATTCTCAGGCCTTTAAAGGAACCTCTAGAAACTTCATTCTGAATCAACCTGGAAAAAACCTCAGAAATTATAATGAAAATATAAGGGAAAAGAGGGTCCCCTTGTCGAATGCCTCTAGATGCACTAAAATATCCCTTGACCTCCCCACTCAGATTAATAGAAAAAGAAGTAGATGAGATACAGGCCCTCACCCATTTAACAAAAGTAGAATGAAACCCCATTTTCAAAAGAACTTTAGTAACCCCCTCCCATTCAATCCTATCAAAAGCTTTTTCCATGTCTAATTTGAGTAACATAAAGCTCTTCTTCCTAGACCTAAGCCTATTGAGATAATGAACAGCTTCATGAGCAATGACCACATTGTCAAGCAGTTGCCTGCCTGGAATGAAAGCTGCTTGATTTTCACTAATACAATCAGATAATAAAGGCTTAAGTCTGAGAGATAAGATCTTTGCTATCACTCTGTAAGATACCCCACACAAGCTAATAGGCCTATATTGCCTGAGGGAAGAAGGGTTAATGCACTTGGGGATTAAAGAAATCAAAGTATGGTTCCAACTTTTAAGAAGTTGACCAGAAGCAAAGAAACTACAAATAGCTGTACAAAAATCATGCTTAATAATTGACCAGAATTTTTGAAAAAAGAGGGGATTCATACCATCTAAGCCAGGAGCTTTGCCAGGATCAAGACTGACAGGAGCTTTGCCAGGATCAAGACTGAATAGAGCTGCTTTGATTTCTTCTTCTGTGACTGGGGCAATAAGGGCTTCATTCTGCTCAGAGGATATAGATGATGGAATAAATTGCAAAATGTCTGCACCACCCCTTGATCCTTCAGTACTGAATAGATGCTTGTAAAAAGAGCAAATGTGCTGCTGAATGGCTTCCTTATTATCAAGGACTTGGTCATTTTCATTTACCAATCTAGTAATTGCATTGGACCGCCTCCTTTGTAAAGTTAAAGCATGGAAGTACTTAGTGTTTGCGTCACCTTCTTTTATCCATTGAGCTCTGGATTTTTGAGCCCAGTATTCTTCTTCATCTTTAGTGATTTTATCCAGTTCTTTCTTCAATCTCTCCCATTCTACCCAATCTCTGTTAGCTCCCATCGTGCTCATCCTTTCCAGTTTTCCATTAATATCCGCTTTGGCTTTCAGCTGGTCTTTCCTGAAACTAGAACTCCATTTCAACAGAGCAAGCCTAGTGGATTTGATCTTCTCCGAGAATTGATACATAGGGGTACCATTCATTTCTGACTGCCAACCCTCTTGCACCACTTCCTGAACTCCTTCCCTTTTTAGCCACCGTTTATCAAAGAAGAACCTTTTGCTTCTAAGTTCCTGTCGAGCTGGGTTGTCATTAAGAGCTAGCAGCCTGTGATCAGAGGAGCTTCTAAAGATGTTCTGAACCTCCACATCCTCATGGTCAGCAAGCCAATCAAAAGGGACAAATATTTTGTCTATCTTCTCTTCAATGAAACCTTCCTCACTCCTACAATTCTCCCATGTGAAATTGTGCCCTGTTAGATGGAGCTCCTGCATTCCCATTCTTGCTATAAAATTGTTGAAACTGATAAATTCACCTGCTGCTTTCACCCTTCCTCCTCTCTTCTCACTAGGTGCACAAGTCTCATTCCAGTCTCCCCCCAAAATCCACTTACTACCCCATGATGCCTGAGCTTCTTCCAGAAAATTCCATTGTCTCATCCTCTCAGCCTTGTCTGTACTGGCATGAATAAATATAATCCAAAAAGAATCATCCCCTCCTGAGCCCTCAATTTCAATCTGGATGCAGAAATGATTACCAAAAACTTGCTTAACCACCATTTCAGCACTCCACAATACTAATAATCCTCCACTTAAACCTTGGGGCTCAACAGCAAACCATCTATCTTTAAAACCTATATTATTACAAACTGATTTTATAAATGATTTTTTCTTTTTGGTTTCTGATAAAAAGACAAAATTTGGATGGATGAGTCTTGAAGACTCTTTGAGCTGGGCAACTGTAGAGGGTCCACCCAGTCCTCTACAGTTCCACATGATGAGCTTCATTGGTCCCTTGGGGGCCACTCAAGGCTGGCCACCTCCACCTCAAACAAATTAGTTTTCGTCTTCTTGGAATTTCTAAGGTCTGAGATCTCATCAGCATTTCCAGCTGGAACAGTTGCTGCATTTCTTTTTCTGCCTCTGGTAATGATATCATCAGGATTTGAAGTAGGAGTAGGTGTAGAAGATTCACCATTAAGCACCTTACTCTTCCTTTTCCATCCCTTCCTTTTCTAAGATTTAACCATGAGAGTATCAATCTTGTTATCCAACAGCTGACTTGAATCTTCACCTATATCCATCACATTGGTTTTAGATTGAGTATTGAGTGGAAGGTGAGATGGACTTGGTACAAGAGTTAAAAATAGTTGCTGATCTCCTATGGGTTGACGAGCTTCTCTCACATGTTCTGATATATGTGTCAGCCTGAGATTCGAGTCCTGCTTCGGTTGTGATTCACTTCCTGCAGATTTATGAACAGGGGTGTCCGGTTTGGCTCCATGGCTAGACTCTTGCTCTTTGCTAGGAGAGCCCGTAGACTGATTTCCTGAACTGAAGGCTGATTGCGATCTATATCCCGCATTTCCATCCATTGCTCGTAGCCATTCCCCATATTGGCCTTCTCGCACAGTTCTGTTATCGATGTCTTCCATTTTCTTGCCGCAGTGTCGCTCTAAATGGCCGATAATTCCACAATAATAACAGGTATTGATCAGTTTTTCATATTGGAACCTGGCTCTTACTTGGGTGTTGTTAAGCTTCAGGTTTGCTATTCTTGGCAATGGTTTAGAAACATCAACCACTGCTAGAAGTCGGAAATAGCTGCCTCTCTGTCCCCCAGCTTTTACCACAGTGACATTCTTGGTTTGCTTGAACATTTGGCCAATCTTTAATCCCACCTCAGTACTAAGCCAATTGATAGGCACATCATTGACTTGCACCCAAAGTTTGAGTTCAGCGAATTTGCTATGCCTCTCAGTTAAGCCTTCTTCCCATTCAGCTAGTATCAAATATTGATTTTCATAAACCCAGTTGGTCTCGGATAAGACCTTTTGTTTGTCAGCCACACTCCCAAAGATAAATTGGAAAAAATTGGTCTTTACTTCTCTAACTTCCATAGGATGTTGAATCTGCCAAATAGCCCCCATAGCTCTTCTGATTCCAACTAAACTTGCTCTTCGATCACCAATAATCCGGCCAAATAAGCTCTTCTTGCATTCCCCTTCGGTTAGCTTAATATCTTCATTTTTTAAATCAATCATACAGCTTTCCGATTCCGACAGCGCAATATTTTGAAGAAGATTTTCAAGGTCTGCTGCATCTCCGTCCATTCCCTTGTCCCCAGTCACGTTGCAATCCATCAAAGCTCTCCAAAGCAGTCTGAACCTGAAAAAAGAAGAGGAAAAAAGAAAAAAGAAAAAGAAAAGAGACCTAAACCCCCAAAGCCCAGAAAGCCCTAAATCCCCCTAACATAACAGTACAACAAAGATCTCAAGAAAGAGTACCAAAAAACCCACCCCCGATGGAATGAAACTCCCCAAGAAGAGAATCGAATCACTCACTTCCCTCAGAAGAATTGCTCACTCCCCACAGGAGAATTTTGTTTGCTCTTCCTTTCAATGCACATTTTGCCCTCATTTTATGTTTTCACCATATGTATTGGTAATCTTGCAATCAAATTTGTCCCACGGATAAGAGAGATCATTCAAATGGATGGGCTGGTACTATTTGATGTATAATAATATTTATTTTCAAACTCGGGATTTTGTTGAATTTTCCAATAGCTGCATAATTGCAAGATTGAGGTAGAATACTGTATGTCTGAGACTAACTATGCACAGGTTTTTCTATTTCAATGAAGCGTCATCTAATATCACTAACAGTTCACTATTGTCTACTTATATTAAACCCATCCTTTTTTACTTTGCGCACCTGGCTGCGAATGTCTTTTAATATGTATATTTAGGTCTATAGTTTTTCCTTTTGCAAATGCCTTCCCAAAGTTACATTATTTTTACCTTTCTCTACTTGCATTGGCAATTGCTGTATGTGTGTCTAAATATTCATTATTTGACTCATGCTGTAGTCTTTATCTTCTGGGCATCTATATCACACACGCCTACTCATAGGAACTATGACCTTGATTCAGATTGTTGACTCGAGAATAATTTAGCTTCCTTGACAACATATGTTCTTCCACGTTTGAATAACATAAGCTGGCATTATTTTTTTGTAGAGCTATGGAAGTCTCCTGATGGATTTTCTATATTTCTTCGGGTAAGTAAAAGCTTCTTACATAATAATATAAGCTTTTTAATGGTATCATTTATTCAGTCACACATTTGACAATTTACATTTCCTTTCTATAATAAAAGCTTTCATCATCTACTTAAATATGATAAAATTATATAACCACAAATTTGGTCATAACTATATTTGCTCCAGCAATGTCTTTGAACCGCGGCAAATGCGTGTTTCAGTACAGGGAAGTGGTGTATATTTGAAAAGGGAACGTGGCTGCAGGTAAAGAAATTGTCTATTCTTAATTTCTGCTCCATGAGGTTACCCAGATGCTCTTTTGTTCGTGTTGACCTTCTATCTTTTTGCAGTATTGATCCACTTTACATTGACGATCCCCTATTTTTGACAAACAATGTCGGGAGAAATTGTTTCCGTATACATCAGTGTATCAAGGTCAGGTGGCATTCTTTGTGGTTATTGCGGAGCATTGTAATGTTCTTCTGGCGATACTAATATTTTTTTTTTTTTTTTATTTTTTTTTTATTTTCTGCTTATTTTGGATAAATAATTTCTTGGTGCAGGCGTTTGCTGATGCATATGCAATGCTGGAGAACGAGCTCACATGCATCCATAATGATGATGACAGTAATGCCAAGCCCAACTGTGAACTGCTTCCAAAATTAATTCCAAGCATTGCTCATTTCGTGGGGTCCTAATATTTTGTGGAGCACGGCTTTTCCGGGTAATTCTCTAAACAATCACTTTTATGTTCTCTACCTCAAATAATTGCATTGAACACGCAAAAGAATAACTCCTCTTTTACTAGCAACTCCAACAAGACTCCCAACACATTTGCCAAACTAGTTTTAGGATTAACCAACAGTCTAGTGACATGCCTCAGGAGAAGTATCCAGTTGCTCACTCTTGTACTTTCTAAATTTCAGGACCGACTATATATTTTAACATCACATTTAAAGTGGACCTTATGGCAGTAAATTTGAAGATTGTTAGTGGTAAAAACTCGTATTGATTTGAGAAATGCTCCGTGTAGAAGAAGCTGATGGATTTGCTTATCGAGACAAGACTTGCCGCCAGACACCTCGTTTGCTCTTTCCCCATCCGGTGTGGTTTGAGCAGCATAAGCAGTAATTTCCTATTACCTTGTTTACTTAGATTACCCATTGGATAATGTCTTTTTCAAGGTAAAGAAACATATAATAGATGTTTATTGGCTGCTGGTTGCATTGTTGTGCAGTTTGCAATCGCTGTCAAATCGGCAGGCGTAAAATACACATATTTAGGAATGATTATGCTCGGTGGCTTTGAAACTATCATAACCCAGATCGAGTTTTTAAAACATATTGCTGCATGCCAAGGATACACTTCTTTGAAGGACCCATGATATGAGGGCTTAGAAGGGATTATATTTATTTGTTAGAGATACACTGCTTGGGAAGTTATGGAAGTCGAGCATTGGAGGTTGAGAGTGACATACATGATGGCTACATGGAATAGATGTCAGGTTGCGAGATGCATAAAAGTCGAAAGGCACATGGAGAATATTTTACCCGCAAGGCACGATGTTGAGAGCCAAATTTGAAGTTTCGAATGGATATTTATGATTAGAGCACCTTCGTAATAGTACCTCATTGATGTATGTTTGATTTGCAATTGGGAAGGGTTGAATTTTGGTACAAGAGTGAGTTACAAACATCCGTTGAATGTTTCAGGCATAATATACATCACTGTTGAATTATTTACTCAACCCAATAAATATTGAATAGCTACCGGGGAAAAAATTCAATAGCATTGACATCTTTACTTCTCTGCATTTTTCTTTGCCATGATTTTAGCCAGAACGAAGCACCTAATTGGCTGTATTATCATTTAGGGGTGTGCCTAAACTGGCTCAATTATTCCAACATCAACTCAACAGAAGTGTTTCATGCACCAAGTTAGATACACATAGTTCAACACAAGTGTTGATGTCTAAAAATAACCAATAATGTGTTCCAACTGTATTCTAAGATGTACACTCGGTTCGGTCTGCACGAATAGGAGTTTATATGGAATTCGGTACGAATGTTAAGCCTATCCGTGACTTATATAGTATTAATGAGAGCATTTACTCATTGCATTTAATGTTGCCTCTTCTTCGTTATATAGGAAATGTGAGGGCTTCTTTATAATTCACTTGTGGGATTTTATTTCCAATTTCCTTTACAAGATACTTTTTGATATTTAGTCACAGCACATTTAATATCTTTGTACTTTAGAATCTCATCTCAATAAAGTTGCTTTAATCGGGTCGCGACACGTGTCTCTGCTTGCTAAACACCCTTAGATGGATGATTACCGGATCCTCTAGCATTTAATGCATATCGTACGGATAAATCTCAACAATGATTAGCGTCGGTCATGCACGCCACCTCTAACTCTCCCGTTCCCTTCTACGTGTTTGATTCGTTTTCAGCCGTTCCCGTCCTTCCTACCCACGCGGACCAAAATAGTCTCTTTATTTAATTGAATTTCTGTCGTTCGGCCTATACCCCGTACAGAGGCCCCTAGGTTCGGGCTACACGAACGGAGTGACCTGGACGTGTTTCCCAAAGCTGCTTTTGTAATCGAACTGAGACGAACGGCTTGCTGAGGGTTAATTAAATGCCGTTTCATAAAAAGGCACGCCCTTTAGAAATCCTGGCCGACAATAACTGCGTCTTGCAACGTGTCACAACTTAATTGGACCCCGCGGGATTTATGGCGCATGGGAGAAGCTTCAACTTTCTGCACCGTTTCAAATTTGAATCATTATGTCTCCTCAGTACTCATCTCGGTGCCTATAAATACTTGAGATCCTTTCAAAAATTTTTCTTACTTCTGCTCACACATTCTTTCTACTCCTCCCTGTACTCCCAAGCACGAACAAAGCTTCCATTCGTTCCTGCTAGTAGTCGTTTGTTCGGTAAGACAATTTTCTTCTTTAACATTCTCCTTAGATTTTACTTTCCCATTTCTATCCTCGCGAACAAGATGTCGTCTTCTTCCGAAGTTACAACGAGGGCTCTGCAGGGCGACAAGGCTGGCCGAATGAGATTACCCCTGCTCAAAGAGGGCCCGAATCAAGACCTATTGGCTGAACAGGCTTTAGTGAAGGTTCCGAACGGATATTGGCATCGGCCATATCGTGAATGGCCCACTTAGACCCTATTCGGTCTAGGGCAACTATCGAGTGACATGACCGATGATAAGGTAGTGAAGCTTCGTACCTCTATCCGGGTACCCAAAAAAATTCGCATGTTCGCTCTCCGTACCGGGAGGAACGAATCCATTGCTCGCCTCCGTGATATGTAGGGGTTTTTGAGAGGTCTGTTGCATTCGGGGTTCGATTTCCCCTGCCTCGCATTTTGTCTGAATACTTCCGAGACTGGGGTGTTGGTTTTAGCCAGGTGTCGCCGATCGCGTGGCTCAAAATCATAAGCTTGCTAGTGTTGTTCAGTCAACAGGGCTGGGAAATGCCGAATTGTGACGATATTCGAGCACTCTTTCTCATCATAGAATCTCGGAAGAAATTCAGGTAGTTTTCGGGTGCGGTGCGTGACGCACGCTTCAAGGACTTAATCGCAAAAGTTCCCGAGACCCTTAGCAAGTACAAACACTCGTGGTTCTGGGTCGGACGGAACTGGCAGACACTGAGGTCTTAGGGAGATCCCGGGACGTCTAAATTTTTTTACTGTTCCCACCAAATCTGTATAAAAAATTTGTGAGTTCTCTTTTTTACATTATTTTGATCATTCGTCAAAAAAAATTGTGAGTTCTCTTTTTTACATTATTTTGATCATTTGTCCTAATTTTGTTATTTTTTGTCCGTACTAACATGTCAGTTCGTTGTTTCAACAAACAGCTCCTTCGTTCCCGAACTCAGGGATTCGTTCATTGACCGGATAACCGAGCAACTAAAGAAGGACGAATCGGAACGAGAAGGGCCAAAACTCGTGCACAATTCGTATCTGTCGAAGCTGGTCTTTGTTCGGGTGTTAACGAACCATCGTGCGTTCCTAGTAAGTGTTCGTGATTTTCTTTCGGCTCTGCCATATTCTTTTTCATTATGTGGGTCGTCGCTCATAACTGTTAGATCATTCCTCAGCTTTCTATCCATTTAACAATCTGAAGGGAGCGGCTACGGACGTAGGAGCTAAAAGAGCGGCGACAAAATCGAAAGAAAAAAAGATAGTCGCGAGTTCCTCAAAGAAAAAGAAAAAACAAGAATCGAGTGGCCAGATGGACCACTTAGCTATGTTGGAGAAATTGAAGGCTGCACAAAAGTCGATGACAAAGGATTCAGCCTCTAAACTAGACGTTGAAGTTATCGAATCGTCCACAGAGGAAGAGGAGCATCAGCTGCAGTCCTCCCGTCATCAAAGCCGCAAGAAGGCGAGCAAAACTGAGGATGGGTCGAACCCCAAGCGCGTGGCGATGGTTACCACGCAGGAGCAGGGATCAATGATCAGTACGGGCAACCAAACGGAAAAAAACGGATATTTCTGGGAGAAGAACGCCCCCATTCACCAAGATGGCTCGAACACTTATCTTCGGATAGATCCGTCGAGGGTTAATCAGTTTACACGTCTCAAGGGAGTTGTGGATGATTGGTTCGTGCGCTACAAATCTGTGGGCAACCAGCGCTTATCGAATGTGGAAAATTGGCCTCCTCACATCACTGACTCGTCCCTGGTCCCACTGATGAGCTGGGATATACCGATTGAGCAGACGGCTCAAAGCTTGTCTCCGATGGAGAAAATGGAATACGCGACGGGATTGGGCCGTGACTTGTGCATGCAATCGGCGGGCGGTGGCAGAGTTCAGGAAGATGAGTAACGATCTGGCTTGGTTGGTTGCCGATCACACCATCTGTCAGGAGAAAATTTATGCATTACAGGACGATGTTAAGAGAGCGAACATGCTGAAGACCAAAATCGCAGAGCTCGAGGGTGAGCTGACAGGGGTTCTATTGAAGGGGGCCCGACTACTGACGCAGATTAAAAATGCGACCGACCGCTTGAATGTGGCCGAACACAAGCTATCTGTGGACGATCAGAAGTTGACCGCGGCTGAGCTTGAACGAACGAGGTTGGAGATCGAATTGTCTGAGGCGTCTAAGGCCCGTGGCTCGTATAAGAAGGGTTACGAGAAAGGCCGTCAAGCTAGGTTGGACAAATATAAGAAAACTGGTAAGTATATTCGGCTGACCTGGATCTGAACGCAGCCATCAGTTTGAACTGGGTGATCCATGCTATGAGGCACGACGACAAGAGACTGGATGACCTCGAGGTGATCAGGGACATGAAGTGTAATCGGCTCGGTTTGTCGGGGGAGATGATAATTGCGGCGTTGGTTGAGGATGAGGACAAGAAAACCTTCGACAATCAACGAACGGATGTCGACACCTCCAAATCGGTGGCCAATACAACCACGGAGAGCCCAAATTTCTTTTTCTGGCAACAAATAACGAAGCTGAGTACGAGGCTTTACTATCTGGATTAAGTCTTGCAGAATCCATGAATATAAATAAGCTTAAGGTATTCTCCGATTCCCAGTTGTTGGTGAACCAAGTCTGCAACACCCCGCTAACTAGGGCCAATTTTTCGCAAATTTTAACTCTTTCGAAAACGCTTATAAATTTTTCGAAATCATTTGCAAACTATCTCGGGATGCTGCTAAGGACTTTTCTGCTTAAAAACCCGTTTCTTTAACCTAGGTCTAACAACTGGTTTAGACTTACAGAATTCAGGTTTATATTTTTACGAATCATGCATATTAGTCTGGACCCGTTCGTACTGGCGAACCGGGTAAAATTATTTAAGTCTGAAAATAGCATCATGCATGTTCGAAAATAAACACAAGCATAGCGGAAGTCTGAAATGCGTGGAATTATTTAGTTTACAAACAGTTTAAACAAATGTCCCGGGAACAGCTTTCGTGCGGAACTCACGACCTTGTACTCCATAAAAACCCATTCTAAAGTAAACAGCAATATTAATAATGATATCACAAACTGGTATATATAAGTAAACTGTAACTCCCGGAACTCTCTGGCCGGTAACTCCCGGAACACTCTGGCCGGTAACCGTGTGCACACTCTGATGGTATAACTAGGGCAAACTGGGCCACCACCAGAACTTAGGGAAGGCAAACTTGGCCTTAACACAAAGTGGATAAAACTCATATACATACCTGAACGTGATATCGACTATTAAACTCAATGTATAACCCAGACTGGGTCCCCACCTGATCGGTTTTGAAAATGAGTAAGTGCGGCTGTGCTGGTAGCTGACTCCTCAAGCTACATAAAGATATAAGTAAACAAATATACTAAGTACTATGCTCGTCATATGCTCAAAAATATGCTAGGATGCTCTACTCTATCAGATTACTCATCCGGATATAAAGGAACGCTCTAAGGGTTCACAGAAATAATTCTAAGTCCAGAAATTATACTGATATGCTTAACTGATCTGGTTTGGCTCAGAAAAATACTTAAATTTTGGAATAAGACTCGGACCGAAAATCACGAACCAAAACGGACTCGAACCGCCGGCTAAACC